TGGAAGGGGAAATAAGGAAATCAGAGCCGTTTGTAACAAAATGACCATCTTTTCTAAATATTCAGGAATGAAACTAGAATGTAAATCCTCTGCACCTAGCTCAATTTTCATTACTTTATCCAGGAAAACAAGACTATTTCACTGTAAAAAAAAAAAAAATGTGTTTTTTTGTTGTTTGACACAAAAACACACATTCATGTTATACAGCCACTAAAAATAATGTTTTTGAATATTTAATAACGGGGGATGGAAAAGTTTTGTAATACAATGAGAAGAAAATAATACCCCAAACAGTATGATTATTTTTAATCGTAAAAGTATTTACTTTTAAGAAGAGTTAGGACAGGGACCAGCAGTTAGCGTAATGGCTATGTCGCTGGACTCCCAGAGATCTTAAGTGTGATATATCCACCAAGGTCCTCCCATGGGGCGCTTTAAACCGCTGTTTTATCTTTTATAGCTCTAAACTGCTATTGTAAACAGAAAATGTCTTGTCTTTTCAAATAGAGACTCAGTTGCAAGACAGTAAAGAAGTTAAATAATATTGGGTTGTTGGAAAAGTCACGGTTCATTTTTTTAATTCTTTTTTCTAAGAATTATTTTATTTAAATTTATTAATTTTGATTTGAACAGAGAGGGACAGAGTGAGAGCGAGAACAAGAGAGAGAGACACCAGGTCTGGGACTTGAACCATGGTTGGCCATGTGGGAGTCCAGTGCCCTTAACCATCATGCCACCTGCTGGTCCCTTCACAGTGCATTTTTATGTAGAAAAAAAATACATTGTGATTTTTCCAACAACCCCATATTTATTTTGTGGAAATACAGTCATACAGTTTCCTGGATCTTTATGACTATTTAGAGATTTTGTTTATTTGTTAAGACCAGTTATTACTAATAATGAAACATTTTTTCACTATCTTTTCAAACACCAGATATGTGTCCAGCATTATTTAGAAGTTAAACTGATGATTAGTAACTATGTATTCTGATTTTACCATTAATTGTAGTATTTTAGTTTAATGGTAGGAAGAGAGCAGTTGGATCTTTTTACTTGCAGTAGGTGCAACAGTGGGAAATAACTAAACCCAAAACAATCAAAAGAGGATGATAGAATTAGTTTCACATACATGTTATACAGCCACTAAAAATAATGTTTTTGAATATTTAATAACGGGGGATGGAAAAGTTTTGTAATACAATAGAGAAGAAAATAATACCCCAAACAGTATGATTTTTTTTTTAATCGTAAAAGTATTTACTTAAGAAGAGTTAGGACAGGGACCAGCAGTTAGCATAATGGCTATGTCGCTGGACTCCCACGTAGTCGACTGCAGTTCGCGTCCTGGACCCGGTGACTTAAAACTCACGCTGGGCGCATTTGCGTGCGTGCCCAAGATCCTGAGAGGAGAATGGAGGAGAAGGGATTGCAGTGTGACCATCCCCCTGGGGGGTGATTTCTCGCTTTCTGTCTCTCTGTCTCTGTCTGTATGGTAAGCACAAGCGCCCTATAGCAAAAACCTCTCAATAAAAAAAAAAAAAGAGATAGGACAGTAGACTGTGAACTAGTGGTAAAACCTGGCTCTGTGCAAGGCTGACCCATACAGGGAAGTTTGGTTCACAGACAGAGACCTCTCTGAATACTCATGGTGTGGTCCAGGCTGGCTGAAGCTGGGGGCAGATCATGCCTGGGGAACCTCTATATTTCCCAATCATGGGAGAAATAAACTGTTTTTTTAATTATTTATTTATTCATTTATTTTTATTTTTATTTGAGCAGAGATATATAGAGAGAGAGAGAGAAAAGGAAAGTGAGAAAGCAAGCTACCAGGTCCAAGACTCAAATTGTGGTCAGAGAGACAGAAAGCAAGAAATCACCCTCCCAGGGGGGATGGCCATGCTGCAATCCCTTCTCTTCCATTCTCCTCTCAGGGTGTTGGGCACATAGGCACACGCACCCGGCGTGAGTTTGAACCACCAGGTCCGGAACTCGAACTGCAATGAGAGTCCAGTGACACCATTACGCCACCTGCTGGTCCCAATAAACTGTTTTTAAAAGAAAATAAATTAATTTTTTCTTTGGGTGGTATAATTAAACTTCTTCATCTGTCCTTCCTCTTTTTTTCTTAACACACTGAGTATGTGTTTCTAAGAAAAAAATATTTAAAAGGAAAATAGTTTAGTTCTTCTAGAGTAATTCTAGCTCACTAATAACTTACATTTCTTTATAGTTCTTTTCAAATTGTCATTCTTCCTAAAAAAAATCAAGATCAGTGGGTCAGCAGTTCTTTTCAAATTGTCATTCTTCCTAAAAACCTCAAGATCAGTGGGTCAGTGAAGTGGCTAACATTTGTTTTAGATGAAAAGAAGAAACTATTCTGGAAAAGTAGGCAAAACAACAGAAATAGAGTTTCCTAGGGGTGTAGGGAGGACCAAAGGTATAGGTACAGACAAGCTCGAAGGAAAATCTAAGTCGAATCTAAAAGTAATCTTTAAGTGCTGAGACACCCATTCATGAGTGTGTGACGTCTCCTCTAAGAGCCCAGATTTGCATACCAGTTCGACCTGAAACACCCAGAGTTGAGATTTACTTTGTTAATTATACTTCTTCACAGCTTATATTAGCATGCTAACCTCTCTGAGCCTTGTCTTCATTAGAACAGATACTGAGTGCTTTACATATAATATGTTTTTGGTTGTTTTTTAAGTTTTTTCCATAGGGCATGTGCACTCATCAGAGAGAGACAGAAATAGAAAGTGAGAAATCAACCTCCAGGGGACTTTTGGCATGCATGCAAACATGCCCGTCATGAGTTTGAAGCCACTGGGTCTGGACAAACCATAGTCAGTCATATGGGAATCCAGTGCTTTAACCACCATGCCACCTGCTGGCACTACATAGATTGTTTTAACCTTCATAGCAACTAAGGAACATTGCTGTTATTAAGCACATTTAAAAAGAAAAATTAATGCCAGAGGATGAATATGCTTCCATAGAGAGAGAGAGAAAGCTTCCCCCCCAAATAGGATGTGATCATGCTGCAGTTCCTTCTCCATTTCTCCATCCTGTCAGGATCTGGGGCATGTATGCATATGAACTCAGCATGTTTTTCAAGCTACCAGGGCCAGCATTCAAACCATGCATTCGATCACGTGGGATCTGGCTCTTTTAACCACTTGGCTAGGGGGCCAGCCTAAACCCACTTTATAGATTAGGAAACTGAAGTTTAGAGAGATTAACCTTCCACAAAGCTAATTCTGCTTTGCAGATACTCATATTCTTATGACTCCAAAGCCCAAGATTTTTGGGCTAGTTCATTACTTCTACAGAAAATTTTCTATCACAGCGTATTATCTGTGTGCATATATCCCATTATCAGGGGGAGGGAAAAGATGGGGCAACAGGGCAACACTGACATGTGTGAATGTCATGGACAAGCTAAATACTATTGCTCTCACAAACCAATATCCTCAAATGTTCAATATTTATTAAGTCAGAACAAGGAAAAGTCAGTTTTGATTAGTAAATAGTATCTACCTCTGTGTGTAACCCGCTGCTGGGTTGGCCTTTGTCCCCTTTTTATAAGCTTCCCAAAGCACACCTCCATTACACCAGAGCAAGTCAGAATTTCACGGGAAGAAGGCTCACCCCATGACACAGCTCTGTACTGGCGCAGCCCCTGGCTCTCCCTTCCTGGTGGCCTCTGCCATCTCCCTACACAACTCTCGCTGTCCTGCCTTCTCCAGCTCTTTCTAGCGCAAAGGAATCCTAGTGCCCCAGAGCTCCTCACCACCCCACCTGCCTTCTCAACTGAAAAGAAAAAAAAAAAAACATCCTGAAAACAAAGTGTAGAACAAAACAAAGTGTCTCCAGTTTCCAGGACATCCTCCATTGAAAATAATATGGGGTTGGGACCAGCAGGTGGCGTGGTGGTTAAAGCGCTGGACACTCCCACATGGCTGACCATGGTTCAAGTCCTGGACCTGGTGGCTTGCTAACTCACTTTCTCTCCCTCTCTCTCTCTCTCTCTCTCTCTGTGTGTGTCTCTCTCTGATCAAATTAAAATAAATGAGTGAATAAATAAAATTAAATAATTTTAAAAAAAAGGAAAATAATATGGTGTGGACCAGCAGTTAGCCTAATGGCTATGTCGCTGGATTCCCATGTAGTCAACCACGGTTCAAGTCCTGGACCCGGTGGCGTAAACTCACACCGGGCACGTGAGCGTGCATGCATGCCCAAGATCCCGAGAGGAGAATGGAGGAGAAGGGATTGCGGTGTGGCCATCCCCCCTGGAGGGTGATTTCTTGCTTTCTGTCTCTCTGTCTCTGTTGTGTTTCTGGTGAGCGCAGGCGCCCTATAGCAAAAACCTTTCCAAAAAAAAATAAAGAAAATAATATGGGGGAGGAGGGAGCGGGACCTGGTATAAAGAAAACAAGATTTATTTTCCTGATGTATTTTTAAAAGTGAGATTTATTCCATGTATTTGAGAACATTGAATGATTTACATATCACCACTTATTCGAAGAGGGTTAATCGGCACTGTTAAATTAACAGTCTTACTCGAGTGATATCTTAGAACTTCATATGGATCCGGCCAGCAGGCAGCCTCTTGCCCTAGACTCTCCTTTCACCTCCATCTGGTGATAACCAGATTTTCTTTCTTTGACTTGAAAATATTTTATGTATTTGTGAGATAAGAGGTAATGTTGCTTCTAAAAGATTTTATGGAAATGCAAATAAAATATTTGTGAGATGCAAATAAAATAAAAACCCCCCCCCCCCGCAAGCAACGAGGATGACAGGTAAAAGTGGGTAAGACAAGGCTGCCCCTCCCTGAGCTAGACTGGGAAAGAATAAAACCGTAGACCTGGAAGGCAATGGGTCTAGCTGGGTAGAGCCATGTGGACTATCAGCCCGGGGCTGGAAGGGTTTCTTCCTGTGGGTTGACTCCAGCCCTGGAAGAATGGGATGACGGGAGGTAAGGAGACTTGAGTTTGTCCTTTAGGGAAGGCCTTCCCCAGGGGCTGGGAAATGGGACAGCACATCTTCCATCATCCAGATAACAAGGGGCCCCCTGGTGTCTGGTGGGCAGAGGCGGGGCATCTACCCGGCCATATACAGCGGAACACTGAACTGCCCCAAGTGCTACATTTTCTTAATTGGAAAGCACCCTCTGTTCCTCTTCCATTACGGAAATGTAGAAAATTAACCTTCCCAACTGTCTGCGTTCCAGGGTATGTGTGAAGGGAGGAAAGTAACGAGTACCAGAGTGAAAAGCAGTAATTTCTAACTTTTTTTTTTCACATAGGATGTAATTTCACACAGAAAAAAGCTGAATAAAAAAAAAGGAGGAGAAATGGAAATACTGAATAACACTGACAACCAAGGAATCAAAAGTTTGAGCAAGGAGAGGAGAAAAACACTAGAAACGTATCAGCAGCTATTTTACCTTTTACAGGTGAGGACAACTTCTCTTTGCTGGGAGTTTGGAATAAACACTGTATTATATTTGTTTGTGATTTACAGTGGTTCTTTCCCCATTTCCTCATGCTTCAGGTGTAATAGCTTACGTGTTTTAGCCACAGAAACATTAGAAATCTCACAATACAAGCAGATTCTGCCAACCATGAAAAGATTAAAATAACTATATGCGAAAACCGGAACTTTTTAAAAAGGTTTTTGTCACAGAGTGCGTGTGCTCATCAGAAAGAGAGAGAGAGAGAGCGAGCAGTGGGAGGGAAAGTGAGAAATCACCCCTTAAGGGAATGGCCATGCCACAATCCCTTCTCCATTCTCCTCTCGGGATTTCAGGCAGGCACATGTGCCTGGCGTGATTTTCAAGCCTCCAGGTCCTGGACTCAAACCACATTCAGACATGTGGGAGTCCAGTGCCTTAACCACTACATCACCTGCTAGCCCCAGAAAACCAAATCTTTACCAGAACCTGCCTGCCCTTCTTTGGGGGAAAGAGGGTTGGGATTAGGAAAAAGTGCATCTTTTTTATTTTGTTATTTTCATGACATTACTGTAATCTAAGTGAATAGTAATGGTCCATTGCTTTCTGAGTGCTAGTGAGAACTAATAACTAACTGGTTATGGTGAGTCCTTGGTAGACCAGTTACGTTTTGTTAGACCATTAATTCACCCCATCCACCTATTAGCACATACAGTTAGGCACCGAGGATTTCAGTAGGTAACAATGATAGAAATAAAC